GAACCTTATATTCATTCCTCAATGCTGCTGAGTTCTTTTAATTTCTCCTTTTCTTCTAGCTTTCGGAACTATATTATTTTCATTTGGTGGCGCTTCAACCTTTCCAACGATTCAGACAGACATGAAAAAATGCTCCAAGTTTCCAATTTCTGTGTTCTGGGCGTATGTTGGTGTCGTAAGCATGTATCTGCCTGTCTCAATCCTCGGTTTTGTGGCTTACGGCAAGAACATCACATCGAACATTCTCGAGAGCGTGAAATACGAAGGACATGACGCGGCTGCTGTTATGTTAGACATAGTGCTTGTACTGATCACACTTCACCTGCTGTTCAGCTTTGTTATTGTGATAAACCCAGTATCACAGTCTTTTGAGGATTTTTTGAGCATACCTCAAGGTTGGTTTAAATACACCCAGGGTTAATCTCACAAATTCAGCCGGAAGCAAGGGTTGCGATGAACGTCTAGCTATTCCGTAAAACAACATAGAATCTAATATTTTACAAGGAATGTGATCAAGATAGCTCTAGGGTTCACAGCTACGCTTATTTATCCAAGTGCGAAATACGAACTTTTTTTTTCTTGCTTCTTTCGTGTAAAACTGTTTTCCTTATCGGAGTCTTGCTTTCATAAAACCCCCCACCCACACAGCGTTTTAATGTTAGACACCTACGCTAACTTAAGTAATTTTTTCGGTCTTCTTTTCCAACAGGATTTAGTGTCAAACGGTGCCTCCTTCGCACCGCCATCATGTGTTTTATTCTTGGCATTGGCGAACTCATCCCAAAGTTTGGTCCCATTCTGTCTCTTATAGGAGGATCCACAATAACTGCATTGACCTTTGTATTTCCCTGTTTGTTTTATTTGAGAATTGAACGTAATATTCCTCTTCATATCAAGGTTTTCTTGTATGAACTCATAGCTGTTGGAATTTTTGGTGGTGTGGCGTCCACCTACTCCGCAATAAATGACATTCGAAAAGTATTCAGTTAAACCTTCAAAATAATAAAAATATCGGACTTCTTCAATGGCTAAGGTGGGGGAGGGGGTGGAGGCGAGGGCAGAATTAGTCTCGTACACAGACTTCCCACGGCCAAGCGACAGAAATTGATCCTTCATTTTGATTAAACTAGTAGAATCAGGGTACGAATTGTTTGATCCAGTGAGAGTTCGTATTATTACTTAATGCATGAAATATGTTTGTGCTAGTTTATTATAAAGAGCTGTCATCTGGCCCTCGTGTATGATTCACCCGAGTGCCTAAGGAAAACGGTTATAAATAGCTCCCCGGCCATGAATAAAAGTACATAAATCGTAACATGCAAGGCTGATGGTTGTCTTATTCTTCTAAAAAGATCTGAACATGTTGACGTATTTGGTAAGTTTGACACAACAAGCAGCCCAGGCTCAATCTGAGAAGTTTGAAAAATTTAGGTATTACATGATATGACTGTTACACGAAACGTGAAAAGAAACATGAACTGTATGTGAAATTCACCTTTTAGCCTAAATAATTTAA